AATTCAATGCAGATTTCTATGGGATGAAGTTGAAGATAAAAGGAAATATCACTTGGTTGCATGGAAAGAACTTAAGAAACTTATTCCCATAGGCGGTTTGGGCATTCAATCTTCGGTTGAAATGGATGTGGCATTACAGGTTAAATGGCTTTGGAGGTTCATGAATGAGGAGGGTGCTTTGTGGAGAAGGATCATTGTGGCGAAGTTTGGGGTGGAGGGAAATGGTTGGTTCACTTGTACGGCTTTGCAGTCACATGGAAAAACTTTGTGGAAAAGAACAGGGGTTGGGAAGGAGAGGTTTCATAAATGTATCAGATGGAAAGTGGGTAGGGGCGACAAAATCAATTTTTGAGAGGATCAATGGATTGAAGGTGGTGCACTTAGGGAGCAATTCCCTCAGATATTCAGTATTGCTCAACATGAAGGGGCGAAGATTTATGATTGCTTTATGGGGGTGTTAGGAGGAGAGGGAGTTTGGCAGATTTGGTATCTAGAAATTTGAATGATTGGGAAATAAGTGAATATGAGAAGTTGTTGAGATCTCTTTCGTTTTGTCACTAGATGGTAACAATGATAGTCCTCCTTGGAAGCTCACTAAAAAAGGCTCATTCACGATAAAATCTTGGTACAAGTGGCTATCAAAAAATGATAATAATGTTGTTAGATTCCCATCAAAACAGATTTGGAAGGCTAAAGTACTTCCACGGGTTTCTTTTTTTGCTTGGGGGGTCATGTAGAGAGTGTATTCTAACTATAGGTAAACTGAGGAGGAGGTAGAAGTTCTTGGTAAATGCGTGTTATTTGTGTAAGAAAGCTGAGGAGAGTAGTAATAATTTGTTGGGTCATGGTGTATGGTTTGCTAGGGGATCAACTAAGTGATGGCCAGTTCGGTGAGGGAAGAGCTAAGGGCATGAGAAAGTTTGAGGAATAGGTGTACGTTTGCGGATTTGATACCACTCACCATTATGTGGACTGTGTGGAAGGAAATGAACAAAAAAACTTTTGATGGGATAGATGATGTTAAGGGTTTTGATGTTTTCAAGAATAGATGGTTTCGAACCCTAAGTTTGTTGTTGTTGGATCATCCTCCACCGGTCATGGGGGCCTTTAGAAACTGTTTTGTTGCAATGGGTGACTTGTAAATTCTTGTATATGGGTTGGACTCCCTTGGTGCTCATAGTAATATATTTTCGCATGTTTTATTTCAAAAAGAAATGTCAAGGAGCAGATTGTGTGGAAACTGAATAAGGCCTTATATTGCTAGGAGTTATTACAATTACTTAGTGAGGAGAGAGCGGGAAGAGGTCTCTAGCTTTCGGCTCATCAGATTTGAAAAATCAATGCACCTCCTAAGGTTGCTTTTTTTGCTTGGGAGGCGTGTCGCAAATGCATTCTTACAATTGACAAGCTTATACTTAGGGGAAAGATTATGGTTAACGATTGTTATTTGTGTAAGAGAGCTGCAGAATCATGCAATCATATCCTTCTTTGGTATCCAATGGCTTATGAACTGTGAATGATGATTTAGGGATTACTAGAAATCAATTGGGTCATTGCGGGATCAGTAAGGGATGAAATTTGAGCTTGGGAAGGTCTATGTAAAAAAAGAAATTTGTAAAGCTAATTCCACTTATTATTATGTGGGTGATTTGGAAGAAATGAATAATAAAACTTTTGAGGGTAATAAAAATGAGATATCCAAGATCAAGAATAGGTGGTTTCATTTTTTTTGGATCCTTGATGTTCGGGCATGATATTTCTATGGAGGATGATTTTGGAAATCTTAAAGATATATTAACTAAACTGTAAATTTTATAAATGGCTGGTACTCCCTGAGTACATTTGTGAATAATACTCTTCCTATAGATCCTCTTTCACTCCTTCAAAAACTGTCATGCTTTTTCTTTCTACACCACCCAAAAAATTGCAATAGGAAAAAGACCTATCTGTTTGTTCTGACCTCTAATACCCTTCACTCATATCTCATCCCATAATTACAAACCATTGTCCAGCTAATCAGACAATTAAATGAGTCCTATAGACAATTTACATGCAATCAGAAGATTTTCTAGAAAATTTATAACTGATAATCAAACAAAAAAAGAAGATCCAAATATTTTCTAGAAACCACTATCAGCAGAAAAGTTCAAAATAAAAAATTCAGGACATTCTAATCCCTCAGCTCCCCATTGAGTTCCCTATTTTCATTTTCTGAACCAAAAAAAATTGCACAACCTAAGGGGTAGAAAAAGTTGGTTGTTTGACCGATCATCAAAAAGGGGGCGAAAAAAGAATTCGTTATGATTATTTTGATAGAAAAAGAAGATATTATTAAGAAAGAGAGAATACAAAGGGAGGATAAGGAATCTTTCTAGTAGTGAAAGAAAAAAAAAATAGAACAAGCAAAATTTGATTATTGATTTTTCTATTATTACCTCCTTTGATAGCAAACACACCTAAACAAAGTTAAAAGTCCCATACCCAAGTGTAAGAGGTACAAGAAATCTACAACCAGAACTCATGCGTATGCATGCTTATCAGGATAAAGAAACAAAGGTCCTAGAAAGCCACCAAGTGATCCCACTTGATGTGTAATTGCTTTCCCCTTCTTGTTCCTGTTTTATACATGCTTACAAAGATTCTGAAATAAAGAATCCATTGAAACCATTTCATAGAAATCACTCTGCTGAATGGTTTTCTAAGCCTATTCTAGATTAATTTTCTTGTGGCGGAAGGCAGTTATTTCAAGATTGATAAACTTACTAATGCAATAACAACAGAGAAAAATTAAGAGGAATAGGAGCATGCTAGTTGCACAAGAAAAGATGGAAAATATATGAAGGGGAAAAAGACCAGCCAATATTACAAACCAGAGTTAGATTTTCTGGAACTTGTATCCAAGCTTTGTCCTGGAGATGAGTCAAAATCATTCCACAGAAAACCTGATGCATTAATTAGAAAGATTTCAGAATGATTCACAGTTTGCAATACTTGATATAAAAGCATCTTCCCACATTTAGAACTTCATCATTCCATAGTAGAAACAGAAAAAGACTGGGACCATATTTCAAGGGGGAAATATTTTACACATAAGTAGTATTAGAATTAAAGCACTCACAAGGAGC